CAGGATCAGTTCTCTAATCTGCTTAAATACAAAACCACGCAAAACACTGGTATTAGCCAGAAGCAGGTAAAACTTATGCATGACCAAGTGACAAAGATCCCACACGCTAAGTACAAAGGTTCTTAGAAAGGAAGCAAAGCCTGTAAAAATAACATACCTAACTATTAAGCCCTAAGTTTTCATCATTTCTGCATTATCACATATGATTGTATTTTTTAGGAAATTTGCCTCGATCTTATTAAAAGAAAGCTATTAAAATGAATCCTTAACAATTATCTTCCTAATCTAGCATAACAACAACATGAAAAGGAAAGCAAACAGAAACACTTCATTTTGAATGTAAAAGAATTAAAACTCTGATGCAACCATAGCTTCAGAGTTTATATTTGCCACTGAGTGACAGGGGTTTTTTGTTGGTGGTAGTCTTTGTTTTTTAATATTGTTGCTTCAGGATGTTTCAGTTAAAATATTTTACTGATATTTTTCTAGCTAATTCAACTTCGATGCTCAATCTCAGACCTTTTGGAAAGATCTGTGAAACAGTTTAACAAGAAAGCTCCTCTTACGAAGTATTTGATGCCCAGCATCACTTACTGAAATACATAACCACCCTTATGAGACTTGGTCCTTTTGATGTCACCAACTGCCAACAGTTTATTTCTTTGGAAATCCTACAGGTTAGAGACAACACTTAAATACTTCATCTTTCAGTGCATCAGAGCCAGTAACGGCCTAGGCAAAGTCAAAGTAGTAAGAACTTTCTGAGCTCCAAAAATACATTACTGGGAATTTCATGCTGGGGACAGACACACCAGGGTAATGGTTGTCAAACGCAGCAGCCACTGAAGATCATTTGGCATATTGGAAATCTACCACAACAGGAAAGAAGGTCATTTTACTCTTCTACACACTAATTTTAGAATAGATGATGACATGACTGGACAATCACAGAAGTCGTTTTCATTATTTAAGACATCGTAGCTGAGCTGTGAAATCAAAAGGGAGGGTAAAGAGCTCAAACGCTGCACTGCCCCAGTGCGAAGCCAGTCAGGTTAACCGACACCTCTGCTGCTTAAGGTAGCTTATCTCCTACAACAAACTGGCTTTGCAGACAAAGAAATTTTTAAAAGTTGCTACTTGCTGAAGTCACTTACTCCCATATTGCAGATTACAATTCCCTTGGTCACACTGATGCAATCGTGAGGCTGCACAGTAGACAGACTGCTAATATGAGCCAGTTTAAACAGTGTCTGCAAAAATGCATTAAAAAATACCCACAATTTTTGTGATCCAGTTTCCAACACAAAGCCATGAACAATAACAGCAGCAAAGCAAATAGGATACAACATCAAATTCTAGGAGAACACTACTTAGGCCAACTTTGTTGAAGAAAACTTCTATTGCAAAACTACACTGCAAAACCCTCATATAATCCATTCCAGTGGCTAAGGGCATAAGGAAGGGAAGAGACAAAAATATCCTAAATAACTACAATTGTTTCTGCATACTTTTTCCGTGCAGTCTTACTTCAGCATGGCCAGTATCTTCAGATTAAGCATATTGCAGTAACATACTCAAATAGCGTGTTAGTTTTTCTTAAATGGTCAAATATTCTTAGGTCTAATGTAAATGCTTTGTTCATTTTTATTCAGTAGTTTATCAACTGAAAAACAAAGGGTAATACGTCTATTTCTAACCCTTAGGAACAGAAGAAAAGTTACTTCACTTTTTCTTCCTTAAAATCATTTGTATCAGAAAGGTAAATGCAAAAGGAAAGCCCTTTCAGCTGCAATGCAGAGGACAAGCAAATGTGTATTTAGTTATATATTATCACAAAGATTTCAAATGCCAAGTAAGCACTTTTCTATCATCCCAAAGACATGAAGATCCAAATGCTGCATTACACAAAAACATTAAGGAAGCAAAACGCTTTCTTACATCTGTACTGTCAACAGCAATCTAAGAGCAGCATTAGTGCTGTAAAATAACTGCAGTAGAATTCCTGCTTAGCAACCCACTGCAGTGTCTGCAAGAAGTAAAGATTTTCGTAATTTTACACCCCCTTACAGAACTTCATCCTCACTCCTCATCGATAATAGATCTCGAAGCATAAAAGCTAAACCAGCAGGCAAAAAAAAAAAAAAAATCAAGTGGTAAAGTGAGCACATAAATTGTCTATTAAACAGCTCATGAGTCAGCATAGCCCAGTTCTGCAGATAGCTGGCCAGCGAGCTTCAGCTCTTTGCCCACTGAGATACCCCAAGTACTCTGGAGTTCCCTAGGAGAAAAGCACTACCTAGAGGATACCGGGGGGGGGTGGAGGCAGCGGGAAGGTGGTGGTGTTCATTGCTTAAGTATGCCCTGGATTTTACTTTAATAGGAATCCAAAATTTAGTTACTTTATTATGGGAACAGATACCTTCCCCTCACACTCAAGTTCTCATTACCTCCTCTGAATTGCCTCAAAAATATCATCCTAAAATGAAAAAAAAAGAAAAGCAGTTACATGGCATTCGTTTCAAAACAATATTGGCTTTAAAAGTGCCTGACCACTCAGCTGTGCTGTTACAGTCATTTACAGTGCTATGCTACGAACTGGATCACTGGCATGATCTGATTAAAAATAACCCTTAAAAAAGAGGGCCAGGAGCAGGAGGGAGGGACTATATTTAACCAAATAATTTCAACATATGGTTTATACCAGTTACAGCAACCCAAGTATACATGACAAGCTGCAAGGTGGAAGGGGAGAAGGTAACCTCTTCAACCAGCTGAAGCAAACACTTTGTAATGCACGCGTCACTACAAGCAAAGAAAAGATAGAAGGGACTAGTGCAAGTCTGGTTTTGGAGATACCTCCAAAATTGTATGTTTTTTTTTTTAACACCATCAAGCAATTAAGATAATTCAAAATTTAAAATAGCTGCCTAATACATTTCGCACTGAACAAAAGAAAAGCCAAGCTACAAAACAGAAGTTTATTAATCTGTTTTACATTTGCACATTGTAATTTGTCAGCCCTCCGTCATCATCTCCACACTTATTCATCAGTTTAACTTCTCAGCAAAGACTGCCTAGAAGTAACTAAAGAAAAGAAAAAAAATGAGCCTTCCCATTTCCTCCAAAAAACGGGCAGAAAAAAATCGAAAAGGTAAAACACTTAAACTATGTCACGTTTAATGAAACATGCAAGTTCAGAACTTCTCAACAAACACCACAGTTCTCACATTCACTGAGTACACTTCCTCTTGGACATACACACCTAACCGGTCCCAAGAAGCTGTTTCAGTCCTCGGTTATAACCAAGAAGATGTGATGAAGCATTAACATCAATACTTCATCAACACAAAACACTTACAGGTCTTCTGTTTAAATCAAATTTATTTTTTAAATAACAGTTGTAAATATTTTTGTGGTTTTTTTTCCCCCAAAGTCTGGTAAGTTTGACAATTTAGAAAAAAATATCTCCACGCTCTCTTAGTTTTTAAGCGAGTGACAAAGACACACCAATTCTGAGACTGCAGTCTCACAACCAGCTTACCCGAGAGGACACGGATCACACCAAAGGGGTATTCTGCTCATCACACGTTCTTACCCTTCGCACAGGCCACCAAGGACAGCCGCACAGCCCGACTGACACCTGGGTCAGCAGCCTGATCCAACCAAACACATATAGCCACAGACGTACAAGAATGGCTAGGAGAGGGACTCACTCCTTCACAAAGCAATGCAGAACTGATGGATATGTGCAATCTTCAAAACGTAAACCTTTCAAATGCTGATGAGTTGACTACAGAGGAAAAAAAAATTGCTCCTTCAGTAACCAGAACTAAGTTAAGCCATAGATGAGTGAAACTCCTCAAAGTTCTGGTGGCTGCATATGTATGTTCTCTTTCCAAATCACCACACAGTATTTCCTGTAGAAACACTATGAATCTACAGGTAAGTTGACGACACTGCAAGAGACCTAGATTTTGTTCTACACATCATTTATGTTCAAAGTTAGCTACTTTTACAACAGCAAGTGAATTCTAGAACGCAAACTGGGCTATCCCAACACATTGTGTTTATCTTTTTCTTCTGAAAGAAAAGGAAAAGCATCAAAGTATCAAAGCAGTACCTGAAAAAACTTGAATAACTAGAAGGTCTTTCACAGTTTGTAGGACTCATCATATATTTAGTTAGACTTTGCTATGAGAAATAATCCCTATGCTACATAAAACAGTTAAAAAAAAACCCACAGAGCAAGTTGAAACCAGAAAGTACCAACCACCACATAATTTCACAGAGAAACCTACTCGGTTTTTAAGAGATGAAGCTCAGTTATCCGAAACTGCTATCAAGAGAGGTTTCAAAGA